CTCCAAACCCGAAACCCTAAACCCGAAACCCAGATCTTGGCTGGAGCCAGAGCCAAGCAGACTGAGCGTCTGGTTCCCATCACGGCCTGCGAGGCCTCGGGTGGATGTGGGATTTATATAGTGGCTCTATTGGGGCATATGCAGGGGTTATGCAATGTAGGGACATTATATATACATATATATATATATCTGTACATATATGTATATATATATATATGTATGTAGGGGTTATAGATGGGGTTATATCACATATATATACATAGGATATGGATTATATAGGGCTATACTGAGGTACATTTAGCGGTTGTATGAGGTTATGTTGGGGTATATATTGGGTGGTATATAAGGGGTTACATAGGGGCCATACGGAAAGAGAGTGGATGCCACTTCATTGTAGTAGGGTATGTGTTGGGAATATACGAGTTTCCTCATGTAATCGTAACAATATTGATAATAAGCATATAGCTGTTTCTATAATTATAGCGTTTAGAAGTTGCGTGATCATCCAGTGTTGCACCATTGCGTTTCTGAAGCTTTCGATTTTAAGGGTCTGGGTTTTAACCGTTCAACGCTTTCGTTTAGCGATTTGAGTTCGAGGTTGAGGGGTTCAGGGATTAGGTTCCAGGTTACCCGCTTTTTGGTCTAGGCTTGAAACCTTGTGGTGTTTCTCAACCTTCGGGCTTAAGGGGTTCGGGGCCCAGGGTTGGGGGGCTTAGGGTGTTTTTCTCAGAAGTCGGGTTTAGGGTACAGAACTTTGTGCGCACTGTGCACGATTATCTTGCGCAGCCCCACTATGGGCACATGCTACCCATTTCACTCAGGCGCCAGATACTCCCTATGAGGGCGGATGTCTCCCTGCGGCTGCCTTTGAGCCCCTGATCGTTCAAAATCAAAACCTTAAACCCTAAATTCCACGCCCTAAATACCACCCTTATATAGCCCCTATATACCCCCTAATATAGACCCCAATATAAGCTTATGTAACCCCCAGGTGCAGACCCAAACCTTTCTCCAGGTTCGGGTGGTGACCCGCGAGACCTGGGGCAAAGTCATGGCGGAGTTCCCCAGCGACCTGGGCAAGGTGCGGGGGGAATCCTCCTAAACCCAAATCCCCCAACCCCAAACCCTAAACCCTAAACCCCTAAACCCTAAAACTCCAAACCCTAAACCCTAAACCCCAAACCCCAAACCCCAAGCCTTAAACCCTAAACCATAAAACTCTAAAACTCTAAACCCTAAACCTTAAACCCCAAGCCTTAAACCCTAAACCTTAAACCCCTAAACCCACCTGCGCAAGGTGCGGGGCTCCATCCTCCGCTACATGGGGGAGCAGGCCAAGGGGTCGGTCGAACATTACTATACCGGGTTATATGAGCTACAGTCTAAACTCCTTAAAGGGGGTTTCTATGGGGGGTTCTATAGGGATAACATTGGGATAATGGAAAAGAACATGGAAATTATAATGGTGTTATATAGGGGACATTATAGGGATGATATTGGGATAATGGAAAAGAAAATGGAGATTACTATAATGGGGTTATATAGGGTTTCGGGGTTGAGGGTGCGGGGGTTTAGGGTTTTAGGGTTCAGGGTTTGGATTTAGGGTTTAGGGTTTAGGCTTCGGGGTTTAGGGTAGGCTTCAGGGTTGTCATCGTTACTGTTCTTACATCTTGTTACTATGAGAGATGCTGGCTTATTGGAAATTATGGCTACCATTTCATTTCTGAGTCTTGCTGTTCTTACTTACTCCGTGTAACCCCTAAACATTAAACCGCTAAACCCTAAACCCCTATATACACCCCCCAATAGGACCCTACATAACCCCTATATGGTTCGGGAGCTTGGCAACGTGAGGCATGATCCCTTGAAGCGAACCAAACACCAGGCGGAGAAGCGCCTCGGCTACCCGCCGGTGGCTCAATTGTGCCGTGATGCCCACGACAGCATGAGCAACGGACTACAATGAGGTTGGGTGGGAGCTAATCATGAAGGGCCGTACAGGGGGTTTAGGCCTTTCACTTTAGTCCAGGGCTCAGATCAGTAAGAACTTCACATCCTAAACCCTAAACCCTAAACCCCTTAACCCTAAACCCTAAACGGGGACCTGCTCCAATCCAGAGACTTCTCACGGCTCCTTGCCTCCTTCTGGACTGAGGCCAGGATCCCCGGCGTTGCTCCAGGAGAAGACCGCCTTCTTCTCGGCTGCCCCTTGGCCTTGAAGATTTTCTTGGGGTTAGGGGTTTTGGGGTTTAGGGATT